TAACTCTGTCAATTAATGTAAACACTTACGCAACTATTTTTAATGCCTAGTGCAAGTTTATTCTTTTATTAAAATACACTACTAGTGTATTTATATAACATAGAATATTTATCTTAGGCCAGGACTACGATTTATACCTTTAAATCTTGAAAATTAAACGTCTCTTTTAATTCCTGATGCTGAAACGTTTTATATTATATTTCACTGAAACGAGGGGGGAAAAGCAGCTCGCTCAAGAAATCTATTGCTATTCAGACTTCCGCGTTATGATCTTTAAAATGAAGCAACGTTACCGCTACGATATACGCGGCTGCCTGATCCCAACGGTAAATGTTGCTGCGCTTAACGCAAACAATCCGTCGATAGCGAGACGAGATCCGAAGTACAAAGGGACGGTTTAGAGAAGTAAATTCTCGATTGAAATTTTAATGTTGACTTTACAGAGCGTACGTGCGGGCGGCATGCGTGCGCAATGTGCTTGCAAAAATATTACATTGATGGAAGTTTCTACTGTGCGGTCGCATAACGCGACGTGAAATTGCGGGAATACCCCCGGTGCGTTTCTGTGAAAACACTCACGGTATATATCGAGCTTCCATCCTTCCTCCATCTCCGAGTCCGGAATATCTGGCACGCTGGCGCGACAGTACAGGAACTTTCCGGCGTCTTCGATACTCGGCACGAATGTGAGGATGCTGGTTGTTACGTTGCCGTCGGGACTCGTCTGCCGGCGAGATTTCATGAATTTAAAACAGTTTACCGAATAATTTAATAATCGCGGTATGCATACACCGAATCCCGAATCGCGTCGTGATCGGATTAGAGCTAGATGACAATGCTACGCCCAATATTGGACCTGGCCAATTACGGTGCCAATAATCGCACCTCTAAGAGTTTACAACTGTCACGTTGTGGATGAAACATAAATTGCGCGATCGCTGACTCTTAAATAACACAACAAAATCTTTGTCAATTTAAACCATTTTTTAATTAAGCGTTTTCTACGCCGTTCGCATGGCGTGTCAAAAAAAGATGCGAGTCCGCTGCGTTGATGACTTTTATCATTCAGACGTACTTGAAATAACAAATCAAAAAGATTCTTCATCTATACGAGTGTCGCTATGTCTCGAACCTCAATTAAGAATTTTTTTAATACCAAAATGGCGCCAGTTTGAAAAAGGTTTTAAAAAGTACTTTGGCACAATTTTGCTATTTTTAAATAAAAATTCTCAATTGAGGTTCGGGACATAGCGACACTCATAAAGATTAAGAATCTTTTTGATTTTTCGTTACAGGTAAGCCTGAATGATAAAAGTCATCAACGCAGCGGACTCGCATCCTTTCTGACACGCCATTCGAACGGCTTAGAAAACGCCTAATTAAAAATGGTTTAAATTATGACGAAAATTTTATTGTGTTATTTAAGAGCGCCCTAATAAATCCCAAAAATACTTATTTCATTGTATGGTGTATTTACTGAGGAAAAAAATGGTTAAAGATAAGCATCGTTTTTAGGCCGTTAAAGTGAAATGACCCCTTGATGACAAAATGAAAAGACAATTTTGTTCTTCTAGCAATAGACAATAATGATACAAAATTTGCTTTCTTCTTTGCGGTTTGGTATTTCATTGGGTAAATATTAGCAAATAAATGGCAATGGGTAATCTATCGCGCTGGTGTGACACGTTTGCGAAGAATTCGTTTGTTGCTTAAAGCAGCTTCTCGCGCGTCGGCGCGGTCCTGTAAATTTTTCGAGAAAAAAACGAGAGAAAAAATGGCAGAAACGGCAGGGGAGTTCACGGGGCTGGTGTGTCACGTGTGATTTATGCGAGTGCATTAAATCGCCGACAATCTATTTTAAATCGTACCGTCTCCCGTGCATTTCGCAGTATCATGTTCCCTTTGGACCATGTGATCGTCGGGCTCGGTCTGGCTCCGACAACCTCGCAACCTATCTCGTAGGTCTTGCCGGCGCTAAGTGGACGGTTCTCTCCTTGAATCCGGACCCAGAGCGGTTTCACTGTAAAAGAGTGTGTCACACTCGGATTTAAGCACCCATCGATCCGCGCGCGGGTCGTGAAGCTAATAGAAATTTCCCCGGTAAAGACTAAATCCACTCACGCTTCCCGGGTAAATTGTAACAATCGATACGCGGCGATTTTTAAGCGCCAATTGAATATGGTAATTTAGAAAATTATAAAACGCACTTTTCGAGCTGCGTATTTTCACGTTGCACCATGATAAATTAATGATAATGCGCCCCTTCTTTCCTTTTGTAACGCTACATTTGCTATAATTTAATTATAATAAATAATAACGTATTACCGATATTATCATATTACCGCGATTTTACAATTCAGTCGACAATTATTAATTGGAAGTAATAACACAACGTTGCCGGCCACGTTTTTCCACGTAAAACGGAATGGAATTTATCGAATGAAATTGTTATTTCTTTCCACTTGCTTTTCAGCTCGCGACCGCAAGATACCCTTTTTGTCGATACTCACAATTCATATCAAGCGACACCGAACTCGATATCGGTGTCACCATGTTGTTGTTCGTGGCCTGGCAGGTCAGGAACGCGCGCAAATGTTCGCGGCCTAACTTTTCCAATTGCAGCACGTTCCGGACCCTTTTAGCATCCACGGTCTCGTAGCTATTGTCCAGCAGAGCAGTCCCCTGCCACCATGTCACTCGTGGTTGCGGTCGCCCTGAAGAAACATAAGGGTCCGTAGTGGCGAATAGCACGTCGGTGCTACGTTGCGCTAATGGCACCCGCTTGGCGTGTAATCACATCTCGACTTAACGCGCCGTTATACACATAGACAGAAATATGAACATTGAAATCTTCATAGGGACGTTAAAATTACCCAAGTGAAGTCTAAAGTTCAACATAACGTGCCAAGCAACGTGGTTGCGGATCAATCTTTTTTTTGGAATTATTATATTTTTAACATGTATTTTTCTACACTGTTGTCGGAAGAATTCGGCGGCCATTTATTTTGATAAGAAATTATTTCAAATTCGAGAAAGGTATACACGTCGGACGTTTACAATTCCACGCACGTTATTTTATTATTTATTACAGCAAAATAAAGTAATTTAATAATATTTCCGTTTAATCTTTCCAGATGCAAAAAAAATAGAATATTTTATTTCTATTTGACGATAAAAGTAAAAGTATGTTTCCTTCTTCCGTAAAATCATCACAAATTTGAATTAGTGATAAAATAATACAAAGTAAGAAGGAAAGGAAACAAATTGAAAAACAATATTTTCTGGGAAAAACATTCCACCGATAAACGATTCTTTTAAATGCGAAGAAAATATTTCTTTAAAAATAAACACAGTGTGAAAAATACAAAATGCTATTAAAACTAAAAAAGATTTCATTCCTAACAAGATTAAACAAGCGGTAAATAATTTTAAAGCTTCATAAAGTGCCACTGATACGCGGTGATCGAATCGACGAAAGAATATTCGCCAAATTTTCTACATCACTTTCTGTATCACGCACAAGGCACCCTGTCCTTTAAATTTATCTCCGTACTATTCAACATTTACACTTTGTTTTCTTTCTAAAGACGCTGTCTCAATTGTTCGAAATGCGAGACCACGTTGTAATATATTCGCCTGAGATGCCAAAGAAATCGAGCCGCATTTATTTTACGTAACTCAAGTACCGCGAGTCGAGACAACGACGTGGCGCCTGAACGTTATAGAAAGCAAAATGCACCGGAAGTGCATCGACGCGTCATGCACTTACCACCGGCGGCGACACACGTGATATTGAGAGACGCTCCTTCGCTGTACGGGCCAAGGATGTAATGGGGAATATGAGACCTGCCGTCTTCGTCCAATATGCTAAGCTGCTCCGGCGGTACTGTAACAATTTTCACGGTAAGAAGCTCTCTTCATTTTTCCTCTTATTCGGAGTGTCTACCGGGACGCTGTCTACCAGGATAAGAGGACTGGGAACGAATCAATTTGCGCAACGATGTATCAATTCTGTAATGTCACCTAAGAAGATAAAACGCCACCGCGGCTGCTTTGCGGCGATGTTAACAAATCTCCATCTTAACGCGAAGGAGATCCGCGGCGAGGATCTCAGGGCGAAAAATCTTAGAAACGTCAAATTTTGAATGTTAGAAAAGAACACGCGCTTTTACGTATATCATAAACGCTCTCATCGAATGTCATTATTTTAAACTTACGCGAAAACCGTTGCAGTGGGATACTTTTAAACTGCTTAAAATTTGAACCTGCATACAACGAAAATCTCGGAATTCAAAACGAAAGCAATTTTTATCTATGACGGAGTTAAATAAAGAACGTGAAAAATCCTAACGTAAATGTACGTCAAGCCGCAAAAAACTGCAAGTATGCAGACGGCGTACAGGTACCACGCCAGCACGCAAAGTGTTAATGAAGTCGAGAGAACGGCGGTAATTATTGTTATCAATTTCAACCTGATCCCATCTGCATAATAGTGCCATGTATTCCGCACACAAAAATGCAGAGAAAACTGTGCCTCGGGCACGCTTGTTCCTTAATGTAAAAAAATTTCGCGTGTAAACGAAGTGGAACAAATTTGAGTGATAAAACCGAGGGGTGAACCGCTGACCAAAATCATGCGCACCAATGTCTACTAATGCCCGGCGGGCATTACTCTATCTTATTATCTTATTTTATCTTAGTTTACCTTGGCTCATCTTTTTAGAGTTTTTATAATGTCCCAGCAAGGCCAAATAACATCCACTAATGCCCAAAAAATGCCTGGTAGTGCCCAAAATCTGTAGAGATCCTCTAATCAGAGTCTGGACAGGCAGTTGCGACAAAACCGAGGGGTAAACCGCTGAGGGCATTGTGGTGTACAGACTCGCGGCATTACTGGGCATTACTAGGCATTACTAGACATTTTTGGGCATTAGTTTGAGCATTAGGCCTTGCTGGGGCATTGTAAAGATAAAATAAAATAAGATAAAACAAGATAAATAAGATAACGTAATGCCCACTGGGCATTAGTGGGCATTAGTGTACATAATTTTGGTCAGCGGTTTACCCCTCGGACGAAACTCTGCAGCTGTATGTAGAGTGAGAGGAAATATATTTCTTTCTTTCTCGCATCATTTTGCCGAAACTGGCCTGTTGGCCAGACACTGATTAGAAGGACTCGAAAAATCTGTACACGGCAATGCCCCCCCGCGGTTTACCCCTTGGACAAAACAGACACGCAAATGTCCTAGATATTAGTTACTTTTTTTTAACGTAACTAACAGAAACGAATTGTTTGCGCGTGGAATTTTTGTACATTTGATCCTTTCCGATCTCAAACTGGGATCTCGCAAGTGTACATTATAATCGTGCGCTAATGTCACGCGGGAAAAATTCGCCGTCTACTGCTGATAACGTTAATATTCGCGCGAGTACCGGCGCGAGGCGCGAGGCGAATCAATTTGCACGGTGATGTATCAGTCTGCGCCGTCGCGTAGCGCCTTTTACCATTAAGCGGGTGTTATTACTGTAGGATAAAAAATAAATTTTTATGTACCGCCAGCGGAGGGACTCGGTGTCTATCCGCTCGGTATTATCGGCCACGGTCACGTAACCGTTCCTCCATTAAGGGAAACGTTACTCCGACGCGATGCAAAAAGAAAACGTTAAATGCAGCCGGTGCACTGTTTTTGAGAGCGCGCCCGCGAAGTGGTCGGATACCGATATCGGCTATTCGACGATAACGGTGTCGATTATATTAGACACGGCATGGCGAAGGTAAACATTAAATTGATCAAGACGCAACCTGAACTCTGTCGTACAGTTCCGTCCTTCGCGGTCCAATTATTAAAAATTTTCAACGATTATCGTGGTGAGTTAAGGCCCATTTACAATTTGGGTTCGGTGATTTTCAAGATGGCTCAAACCCAGAAAAGCTTCTTTAAAATTTGACCTCACTGGACTTTTATTTTATTTCAAAGAGATCATTTCTTTACCTTAACCAAAATTTTATCCGATTAAAACTGAAATCTCTAGAATTTATATTTATTTCTTCAAATCTAGCAAATGTTTTAGCAGAAGTAAATAAAAATTTAGTAGATTTAAGCCTTTCAAGACGCTCCGAAAGTTTAAACCGAGGCTTAAACCGCGGAGGGCATTAGGCCTTGCTGGGGCATTAAAGATAAACTAAGATGAAATAAGATAATAAGATAAAGTAATGCCCACTGGGTGTACAAGAATTTGGTCAGCGGTTTAGATTAACAAACGTCATTTAGGTATAGCTATTGTTTACGAGAACAATAAAGAATCGATGTAAATGAATTTCTCGATGTTTTCAGATTGCTTATTCAGATTCCTCGTTACCGGAATTATCAGATAGACTTTGGAAATAGTATAGGAGCGATACCGTATTCGCAGGAAACACACGCCGCGACCCCGGGAAAGTTCCAGAGGAACGTGCCTCGCTTCCCTTTATTGTCGAGCGCATCTTATATTCAGGTCAATGCGGAATATCGTTTAGGAACTCACTGATGACCGTTAGATTGACTTTGCTGTTGCGCGTCGGTGACTGCTTGAAGTCGACTCTGCATCTGTAAACAGCTGCGTCGTTCTCGCGGACCTTCTCCAGAATGAGTTTCGCGGGGGTTTCGGAGTGCTTAAAGAACGCGCGTCCTTCCAGGCTGTGATCCTGCCAGTGATTCCCTTGATCCGGGCTGTCTCTCCCTCTCGTGTCGAAGCTGCAACGAAAATTAAATTAAATTTCATCAAAGTCCACTTCGACACACACTTTATGAGTCGCTTAAAGTCAACAATTTTTATTCATAACCTGTTTTAATATTTTAAAATGTCGTGGATACTACACGGAGATAATTTTCTCTTAAAATTTACCCTGAAAATCGTGTAATCGTGGGACAACATAGCTCTTTGAAGAACTTTATGAGGGTTTTTTTTTTCGAAATTTTACCATAAATTTTACTACAGTACCGGCCAATAATATATCGTCTTTCAATTTTTTGAGCATAACTAATATTAAAGTGCTCGAATGAAACATTCGAAAATCACGATGTACTTTGTCAAATTTCATTTACCCTTCGTGCACAAGATGTACCTGTTATCGGATGTCTACTGTAAAATTTTGAGCACATTCGGTGCACTCCGACGAAAGTAATGCTCAGAAAACCTAAAGGTGATATATTTTCGGCCGGTACTGTAGTAAAAGGTGTACCAAGTATAATTACCAGTAAAAAGTGTGGTAAAATCTCAAAATTCCGTCTTGTCCCACGATTACATGATTTTCAGGGTAAATTTTCAAAGAAAATTCTCTCCGTGTACGCCGTGGGAAGATAATACGTACAATATTACGCGAATACAATAAAATGTAGACTTATCGGCGATTAGCTCAGGTACGATATATTATATTTACGATTTCGCGTCAGAGAACGATCGGAGGTTTGTTTATAGAAAGCCGTAAAGAAGAAAAGCTCCCGCGCCTCTTATTTTCCCTTCTTTTTCCTTCAATACTCACTAATGCGCGTCATCATGTTTCTCGGACAGGCGGACGTATAGAGAGAAACTTTTATATTGCCCCTATTAAACTCTCGCGAGACGGTCAATCGAGAAAAATGCTCCAACGTGGCGCAGTTACCGAAGAAAAGTACAGAGTCACGCAGGATTCTCGTAGCACTTTGCCCTCTAATATCGGCCCTTTTACGCTAGCGCGCTGCCCTCGCAGAATTTCTATCGGCGAGAGGCGAACAGAAACGAAGCTAACTGAATTTATGCGGCGTCGTTGCTACAAAGAAATTTCCCAAAGAAATTTGCGACGGATCGGGGCCATAATGAAATTCCTCGATAACTTTTCAGAACTCATTATTGTGCTTGAACGAAATTTTCGACGGAGCGTGGATCCGGCATATTTAACATTAAAATGATCATTTTTCTTCAAATAATGCACTGTTATTGCCCGTACAATGCACATGTAGGATGTCCCGGATCATAATTTTATTTCAAGATTAGAAAAACATTTTTTTCCGATTAAAATATTATAAATAACTTTTAGTTTTCATAAGTTTGGAATTAAACGGCTGAGTAGTGAACCAAGTTTTCAAGGTTTACTCGAATGACAACGTTCCAATGCGTATACTTAAAGTTGAATAATTCTTGTCTTTAAGAATTTTAATTTCAGATACAATTGGGCCAACACATTTATTGTACATTCAAAATATATCTTACTAAAGGCCTGTGTCTACGATGCTTGGATCAAGTTCTAGTATCGTGGACACAGGCTTTAATGCAGATAAGTTTCTAGGTGTCGCAACAAAAATTTATCGCTATTTTGTGTACCTGTTGGAAAATTGTTTGTAGCCTACAACATTTATAGCAGCAACATTCTAGTAATAAGGTAGTGGCACCGAATATCGCCTACCCTAACTATTTCTGACTCCTGCGGCCACAACAATGTGGTCGAAAAAAGTTCTGATAGAGCTTAAACTGACGGACAGACATCACTTTCTTTGTCACCAGCTGGAAAATGTTGTAAGCGTTTGCTGACTTAGTTTTCTTCGCAAATTTTGTAACGAAACGGAACGTGTCATTTTTTGAGAAACGCGTTCCTAATATTGCTTGTGAGCTTAATATTAAATTAATTGTTAATACTTAAGTGACATTATGTTTTGACGTTTAATTGTAATATCATTTGATTCTCTGATTCTCGTACTCTCTAACGTGGCACTCTTGGATTTGGAAAAAAGAAACAAGCGATAATACAACTACACTATTTCCCGTAAGCCTCTGTCACTAGATCAGCCGACGTCATTTTAGTGTCATTTTCGTTACAGCTATATTAAAAATATCGGCGTTGTTTATAAAATAAGCTAATTATCCTACTTTACACACAATTCTGCCCACAGTTAACAGATGTTCAATATTAGTTCCGCTAAAACGGTGTTGGCCGATATTGGATACATAGGCAATATTTGGTGCCACTACCCTACCTTCTGGAAAATTTAGGTTCCATGACGAAATATTAATCATTCGCATTGGATAAAAATGAATTTCGGTACCAAAGCTAGAACAATCTTCGCAAGGAATATAATTGTTTATGTGTGTATCACAATCAAACGTTCTAATGGATGGGCGTCACAGATTTTCTTCCTAATATTCGCTAACAGTTCAAATAGAATTTCTGTTTCTGTTATTTCAATTGATTAAATACAAAACATATGCGATTTCGTAGTATTGGCTATTCACTTATATATCTCAGTTATTTTTTCGTACCAGAAAATTGTCGCTGCAGTTGCAAGATCTTCTTTTTTTCGAATGTAGATTATTAAAATGTTACGACGTGTGATAATCTTTGTGTATTTAAGTTTGTTCAAGAAAAACTCGTTACCTTATCTATCGTTAAAATCGGATTTGATGTTGCAAAAATACGACAGGTGAAGTTCTTAAAGACAATTAGAACGACTGAAATTTAAAACCACCAAGCTAATTGTCGTTAATTCGTTCCTTCATTTCTCCTGAATTAGATTCGCACCGCAAGAAGATCTAAAGCGAACGCGATATGTACTCGAGGTAATAATTAACCGCTATAATTTCCTTATCTCCTCGAACGTATATGCTTCTAATGCGCAGTGCAGTCCTGGGTGGATTTCACAGCAGTTTCTGCGATTCTGTCAGCGTTATTATACCATAGTGTCAGTTGTACGCCACGGCATTCCGTTATCACGGAACTTTTAAGCATGCTATGGTCGACATTGTCTGCGTATCGGCGGTCATATTTTCGTTGGGATTTTGAAACGGTCGACGTTCATTCGTAAACGTGCCCGAGCGTTTCATACAATGTCTACTTAGTTCACGATGAAACAAAAAAAGGACAGATCCTATTTTCGAGTCGAGCGATTAAGAGAATATTGTGAATGAATTTATTTAATTTATCCACCGCCGCATCGCTGAGGATGACGCAAAGTACATAAAAAGCGATTTATAATTTGCGTGGATAGTTAATTAAGAATTGCACAATGTTAACTCACGCATAAATAACCGGGTGTGTATGTGTGTTCGGCTCTCAACCTACTTTCCCTGTTACTCGTTAATGTTAATAAAATATTTTCACATAATATTGTGAAATAGAAAATATTTTTCTACCTATTAATAATATTATTATCTTCTATTTTAATAAAACTTTCATTTGTAATTACGTTTTACACGTTCAACGTAATAAATTGTGTATTTAGAAAACGTTATGAGGCTATTTTTCTTTCCGAGAAATCGGCTTTTGTTACAATTTTAAGAGATGCTAATTACGTTTTTTTTTCTTTCGCGAAACTAAATTAATATTTATAAAGACTTGTCCGCGCGTTTTTCACGTTGAAAGGAATCGGCGTGAGAGAAACGGGAGTGCGGGCTGGGCACTGAAAGTCGGAATTGATTTCATTCGAGGTGTGACGAATGTTGCTCGCTCGCGTTGCACCTGCTCAGGTGCGGGTGCATCCCGGAGCCGGGGAAAGGTTCGCCGCGCGGAACGATATATGTGCCGAGTAGTTTTCTGAAACCGGTCCTTGGAGGACGTTCGTACTTTTATATGACTCGCGCCAGCTCGCCAAGGCGAGTTACATCGTCAGCCGAGCGTGTGAACGCTCTCGCTTGTCCGAACGATTTTCTGCGTCTTCGATTTTCTGAAGCGCCTCGCCCCGGCTTTAGCTAAACGGTCGAGCGATAAATTACGTTAATCAAAAGGGATATCGCGACGGGACGACACACATAAGGGATACGTACATGGTACATTCGTTAATCAAGTGCACTGTTATCGTCGTTTTTACCTTCGATTTGACACACGTCTCGAGCGGCGTCGATTTCATTCCAATTAGCGTACGTTATTTCTGAAATTATTGCTACTTGAAAAAGTCGCCTCTATCGAAATTTCGAAGACTAATTGCGGCGCGATAAAAGAGAGAAAGAGGATGCAGCGTCTTTATCTTAAGCCGCAGGTGTTGCTTCAATTTTATTGCCCACTCGGAGCACCGGACTTATCGCGCGTCGTTTTAGTTAAGTTGGCATGAAGTACGAATTACTTAATATAAAATTAATTTATTATAATCTAATAAATGCAAATAATTACGAGCGCTACCATTCGACATCGTTTACAAACGCGTTTATCTCGCGCCGAGACATTTCAACGGCAACGAGTAGAGTAATCGCATGTTGGACATGCAGGCACAAAGGATTACTACATTGCAAACAGATGAGAGATGCGCATCACGTGCAGAACGTGTCACGCTTTTGCATTTCCTTTGTCAACCGTTGCAGCCATCGCTTTGACTGGCCTCCGAACTATTATCGGTAATCTTCCTTAATTACTTGCCGAGGGAGGAAGTCGACCACAATCACACTTTGAGAACAGAATCTCCTCGTTACGAGATGCGACTTTTCGCGAGCATCTTATTAGAGAGCGTCTTAAAATTGCCGGAATTCCTTTCATTTGCGGATTCCTCGGTTAATTTAGACTCGACTTGCTCGAATTCCAAGAAACGTTGCGCGAAACATTTTTCCCGACGAATGCAATCGGCCCGGTATTCCATGCAATTCTAAGATGGGGTTTTTAATCGAACATCAAACTTGAACAGATCGTCGAAGGAGACAAAACTCAATGAGACTCGTCACGTATGAAAGGGGTAGCCAATAATTTCGGAAACTGTACTCAATCAGCGTCACGTATGCGTGGTTCATGCACACGATTTCCGTCTCGCTCCCGTCGCAGAGCCGAAGACCATCCAGGTTCACAAGTCGATGATCAAATCGATATCCATCATGATTTTTCGGACAGTTTGATTCGATGACGACTAGAGCCTTCATTGGCTTCGAAAGAAGACCCGCACAATACTTTGTCGATATCTTATCGATGTATATAGAAGATATCATGTCAGTCCCGAGTCAAAATTTTGGTACTATCTTGAAACTTTTAAGGATAATTTACACCTACCCAGTAATAACCTACTTTGATGGCATTATATTTTTTATTCCTCCCTTAAATCTTTAATTCTAAAAATTTACTGTAGCTCGTACTTAAAAGGACGTCCTTTAATGCTAATTGGCAAAAGTAGAAATTCCCGACACTATCAGTTTGAAAGTAGGAATGAATTTTGTACTTGCAGTTCGACCTCTTTTACTGTTTTAAGTCCTACCGTATGATAGAATTAAAGGTTCAACGTAGGGCCAAAATTTCGACTCGGGGTGTCGAGCAATTGTTGATCATTTAGTTGATATCTAGTAGATACATTCAAGTCGAGTCGATAGATGGAGATGTCGATTCGCCTTCAATATGATATCAATTGAAACATGACTGGATCGTGGACGTCTACAGAATATTTTCTAGGCGTCGCAATGAAATCTTCTAAGTATCAACTTGATTTCAATACGACATTTACCAGATTCTTCATCGACTCGCGAATCCGGGCAGCTCGGTGTCGCGACAGGACTCGCGAAAGCCGAGGAAACAGACGAGGCTGAATCAATTGGCGCGGGGAGATCCGGGTGTATCAAAAAAACAAGGCCGCCACGGCGCGACGGGGCACTTCGTCACGGGACGACTTTCAACTTGATAAAACCGCGAGAGTGCCGTGTGCGGGATAGCGCAATAGATACGCGGCTCCGCGCGCCAGAAGAAATAATATCGTATCCACAATTTCCACCCGGGGATGCCTTTAAGTCCGCGCTACAATTCATATATCAGAGTCGCCGGGGAGAGGAAAGACAGGGAGAAATAAAGGGCAGCAGCCAATTCGCTATATGGACCGTCCTTGTGGGAGCACTCCGGGGCGCGGGGAGAGACACGCGCTAATGTAAGTGTGTCACGGGGTTGGGTTGCCATCCTCCCGATCCTTCATACGCCGGAAAATATGGGATTCCCGACCTCGCCGCGTTTCTATGCATAAACCGCGAATCAACTCGCGAAATAAGGGAGCCGGGAGGACGGGGCGACCCGGCCCTGAAGGCGGCGCGGAGGATACGCGTGTGCGTATCTTAATCCGGGGGTTACCCAACCCGCGATCGAGAAAACACCGCCTCGGAACGGGATTAACTCTTTTCCCCGTTCTTCATCTCTCGCTTTCATATCCGCGCGGGACGCGCATTAAATTGCGGCTCAAACGACGCGACTCTTGATACGCTCAGACTTAAATTCATTTATTTATTACCGTTCGACCCGCGCGGAGTTATTATTTTTGCGCAAGCAAACGCAGCGGTTTAATGAAATTACGTAATAATTGCGTCTCTCCCTTCTTCGCCGCGTATTAATTCTCGCGCGCGTGATTTTGTGCAGACGCATCGATTGCGCGCATCGGTTGCCAAGCAACGAATACATTATCAAGATCGAGCGTTGTATGCGTGCTACAACGGGATAATTTCGGCTATCTAGCATGCTTAATGCATTACTCTGCCATTTAGTTAATAACTGAACTGAAGCAACGCAACGGGGCAAACGGGCCGCGCGCAATTTTCCTCCGAAAATGCGCGGGCCACATCCGGTTCGCAAACTTCAAACGCGATGCGTAAATCCGCCGGCAAATATAATAAGCCGACAATCCGCCGCGCCGGGGAAAAGTTGCCAGTTGCCGGCTGATTTTCAGGCCGCATAATTTACAAATTAATTGTGTCAGTCATCGCAGAATACGCATGCGTCGAGCAATTTGACCCGTCTCTGCCCGCGGGAAGAATCACGCATATACGAGCGCTCTCTCTCTCTCTCTCTCTCTAGATTAAAAAAAAAGTTGCCAGAGCATTTGGAAAGTAAACTAGAAGTAGTAGGTAGTGGAGGAGTAAGACAAACTAAACAGGCAGGAGATATTGTAATTCAATTTCGTGAAACCAGAAGTGCGCAAAAAAGTATGTTCCATGAAGGAGTGAAAATGTACAATGTGTTTCCAACCGAAATAAAGCTGTGTGAAAGGTTTGAAAGAGTGTTAAAAGAATATGTTGCAACAAATATATTTTAATGTATTAGAAATAGCTGAGAAAGCTAAATAAATATCAATCAATCTCTCTCTCTCTCTCTCTCTCTCTCTCTCTCTCTCTCTCTTTCTCTCTAGACATAATGCACCTACCGAGCGAGTTTCTGCGTAAGTTAATCGCGCGATTAAGTCGCGGCTCGAAAAATTTCGACACGAGAATCCGCGGTATCTCCTACGGCAATCGCGCTTCGTTACGAGGAATACGCGGCGGCACTTAAATCCTCGATGGGCGGAACCGCAGTCGAAATTGCAGCCGCTGCGGCGCGTCCGCGGATTAATTAATCCTCCGAGTACAATTGGCATACGTTAATTTTTCCTTTGACATACCTTGGCAAACTAATATCGAGCTGTCGAGAGAGAGGGAGAGAGAGAGAGAGAGAGAGAGAGAGAGAACTCTTCAGCGAATTACAGACGTAAGACGCTTAACGGGAAAGTTTTTTCATTTCAATGAAAACAATCTCTTGTAATGCGCCAGTAGCGCTCAGAAAAGAGATTCAACACGGTAGAAGTGGATTAAACATCTATAGGATATTCGTTTTCATCACGTTATCGTTATCGTTTTTTTTCTATTATTTTTTTCTGTACCTAATGAATTTATAATAAATTAATTTCACGCACTTTTCCCAATAACGGGCGTGTAACAGGAAAAATCTTCAAAAATGTCAAAAAGGATCGGAAACATTTATATAACGATATATAATTTATAAATATTGTCATAAAACAAAACTCACCTAAAAACGATAACGTACTTTTGCAATTAAAAGAATATCATAAAATGCATTTTAAAAGGGAGAGAGTTTTTGAGACTTTTAAAAAAATGATATAAAACGGCAAAATTCGTATAATAAATCGCCGCGGAGAGCCGATATGCAAAATTTAATAAAAATATTATACGGTTGAGATATTTTTACACAAACATGTAAAATAAATTCCGCATACATATCGAATGATTTAAAACTAACGAATTGCTGTTTAATATCGGACGTGCTTTACATACGAAATAAATATAACGTTAATGAAAGGGAGTAACAATGCAATCGAGATTGAGCGCAACCATTATTCGTGGCGGCTTAGAATTTTCTTGCCACAAACCACGAATGTGTCGCACGAATGGCAACGGAATCCAATTAGACTAACTGTAAATACGACTCGAGTGTTATTAACAATGATCATATTGCCAGGATCGTTTACGTCCTCTCGTTTGATCGGCGGCCACATTAACGGACGGCCAATTAACATATCTCTCAGGTGCAATTCACTTTGATTTAATGAACGTCGAAGGGCCCCTAACTAGAACATCGAGCGATTTTCCTGCAGCTCTCTGATATGTCACTTTCGCGGCGCGGAATGTAAATTATGCCTGTCTTTCTGTTTGAGAGGCATTTCCATTTGCGCGAATTAAGTCCAACGCGGAACAAACGGAAGAAGTTCGTTTTCTCAGCTCTGACTCGAGTGTATCCCGGCGCATAATCAGGGTCCCGTCTCAAGAAATTGATAAATCTTATTTCAAAATAATTACTGTTGCAATTATCTCGGCGGAAATATTATTTATGCCGTTCCCCGGCCACCACGCGCTCAATTGTTTTATTATAAAATTATTCCGCCCGTATAATCTTTCAGCTGAAACGGCAAAGAACGTCCCGAGCGTTCGCGTATTTACGCGATATACAAATTTGAGAGCGATACGTAGTTAATTTCATCGGAAGTAAGTTTCGCGAAAGTTATTTATTATTCCCGTCTTTTTCATTATTTGCTATGCGTATAGGTGAATTCGGTGCCGCGAGAGAACGGCGTTACGCGCGCATATTGCAGTTTGCGCGCGCTGATAAATGAAAAGGTATACAAATTTTGTGACTCACAATTACAATTCTATGTGTGCCGTAATGCATCTCATATTCCTACATATAATTTGTCCTTCACACATATATCATGCGTGACGTTACCCATTCCGCATACCTGCCATAAACGCGGCATTGCAATGTTAAATATGTGCGAGAGAATTATTGTGTCAGATACCTAAGTCACAATATAAAGCACGTTTATACATACGCGGGCTATAAAAATGGGCAAAAAGCAGACGTGCGGCTTTTATTTGCAGTAAAAATTCGGGACGGACTTTTGTCAGTGAAAATGTCGGGATAATATTTTTTTGTTATAATCAGTCAAAATAACACGGAAATTTCCCCTCCCTCCCGCCCCAACCCCTTGTTTCTTCGCGCGGCTGAAAAACCCCGGTTCGATCCAGCGCGGCGTATTGGACCTTCGAAATAACGGATGCGGAGCAAAAGTATTTAGAAATGGGAAACTTAAATCCTCTCTTTATGCTAATTTCGCCCCAAGTTAGATATCAAAATACGGAATCTGCAAATAACTTGCAGCGCCAAACGCTGCTGCAATAATAATGAGCGCGCGCGGCGGCTTCGCGGTTTTGTATTCGAAAAGCGTGAACGATATTGCACGCGATCAACATAAGAAGGGACGCGGGCAAAAGGAGAGGGAAAGAGAGAAAGATGGAGAGAGAGAGAGAGAGGGGGGGGGAGCTAGAAAGAGCGAGAAAGAAAGAGCTAAAGGGAGAAAGGTAGAGAGATGGAAGAAGAAGAATTTACCTGTATATCGGCGCATCTGCCTCCTCCTTGTACCAAATAACTAGGTGCAGCTTGTCCCCCGAGAGCGGCGGTTTCACGTCGCATGGTAGCTGAGCAATTCCGCCTGCCACTGCTTCCGCATCTGTCATTGTCACTGTAATGACAAAGTCAGGTTGAGAGTCAGCCCAAGATCATATAACCGGAAAAACGTGGTCGGAATACACGCGAGCTGCAGAGCGCGACTAATCTGCCCCGTATTAATGGCTCGATTCGCGCCCGGTGATTTCACTCCGGCGCGACGGGGTTTAATCCGCGACGACGACGACGGCGACGTCGCGTCCTCGAGTTCACGAGATCACTCGTGCGCGATTTCCTCCTAAGCCGCGGATATTCTCGAAAGGTATCTCCGATATTTTTCCAGACTGTACTCTCCGCTCGCGATTCACAAGGGAGCGTCTCGAGAGCGAACATTTCTTTTCACTTCAAATCGGCATATATCTGTAGCGCGTGTGGAAATATAAGAGACGTATTTCCTTGTTTCCCTGATAAACGATTTAAAAAGACAAAACATCCCTCCAAAGTTTACTGACTAAAGAATTCTTTATTTCGATAAGATCCAAACTTTGCCGTTTGTTACATTGAAACATGCTCTCGACAAAAGTTATTTACAACGTCAGCGTTTTCTTGACCACATCGGACATTTTTAATAATACAGAAAGTTTATTGCGAAAAATATTACCTCAGCCAGGGTCCTGAACCTGGACTTCCCTACACCCTAGGCGGGCGTCTCACCAATTCGATCACTGAGGCAACAAAAGTTATTTAATTCTTTGCCCAAACATATGTTTCGGATGTGTGGAAATTACGCTGAACTTTTAGGTTGCCATCGCATAATATATTATACATTAAAGTCCTGTTATCAACATATACCGACTTGAAGTAAAAAGTTCGCTTTCAGATCTGTTTTAATTTGAATGAATAAGTTTAGTCGACCTTAACTGGCACGTGTTTAACAAAATAAAATAAAATACAGTGCGACGTTTCGACCAAGGGTTTTAGGTCCTTCTCAAGCACATTCTAAAAGGGACAAACCGATAATCGGAATTACAGACTTATCGAAGATACAAATTAAATTAACAGACAATCAAAATGTGTACAATAATACTATGTAAAATGAAACAACATCACAAATAATGAGTACAATGAAAGATATGGTTTGTCACAGCGGATACAAAATCCTAGACCAGTCAATTACCTTAAAAATAATCAGGCCAATGTAATATGAAGTCAAATAATAAAAATCTAAAGGAGGTAAGTCATGATTGTAAAATTAACAGGCACAAAGATAAAATATTCATTGTTATTTATTACTCGCAACCTAAAGAGATTATTATGTTTGTTTTAATTTGCTCTAAAATCTCAATTAATTTTGTCAATAAATGACAACATATTTATGGCTGTAATAGGCCTGTAACAATTTTTAAGAATAAAAAATTAAGTCGCATGGGATTTTATGCAAATGTTATATATATGATTATAAACACAAACTCAAGCAAAAGATTTACATTCAACTGTTTAAACTGTAATATGTGAACGCGATAAGAGAACCTCACCTCGAAACCCAAGCGGAAATAAATAAAAATTCCAGTTACTTACGACAATTCCCTACTTAAGATTGTGCTTTATTGTAAAGATCTATGCCAGGCGATAAAGACTTCGTGGTCAACACGTTTCCGTTTAATAGCCGTAACATCGGCGACGCCATGCTGTGGTCGCCGAACAAAAGACTGTATAACTTTCGTCATATAATGGCGTCGATTATAATAACAATGGCACAATAATTTCTACGGAAATGCAGAGCACGCTCGAGGACTGAGAAAGATAATGTAATTAAGATCATTAATCAAATGTAATTGTACCAATTAATCATGATATTTTAACAGCCAAGTTGGCTCAAGACGCGATCTGCATGTATAATTTTAACCAATAATTAAATTCAAATAGGAAACAGGTACCGTGCTCGACGCAACGGCAGATTTTAGCAATTTGTAAAGTAATCGTGTTTCACCGCATTATCATGTCGATTATATTATAAATGTCGGTGTGTTATAAACTTTAGTGTTTTAGATAAATCAATTTTTAACAAAAATGTCCGTTCGTCTCACGCGAGACAGAATAAAAACGGTTGATTTAGACGAATGTTAAATCGTCATTTTACACTTCGATTAAGTAATCTCCTGAAATTTTCTAAAGTGTACACGGAGAGAATTTTTTAAAAATTTATCCCGAAAATTATGTAATCGCGGGACAACACGGTATTTCAGAGAATTTTTTGAAATTTTACCATTTCACTGCTTAGTATACATTTTACTAGTAAAACGTATGGTAAAATTTCAAAGTACTCTCATAAATTTGTTCAAAATGCCCATGTTGTCGCACGATCGCATGATTTTCGGGATAAATTTTCAGAGAAAATTCTCGCCGCGTATATACGCGTATACATCTTCCGCGTAACGTATAGCTTTAATTTTTAAACAAATCCAATTGAAAACGTGCCGTTCTTCTGCGTATAGCACGATAATCGCTGAAATTCTGCCGAAAATGCTTAATGATCTGGATGTTCAGTAAAGCGGACGCTCAGTACCTTTTGAATAGTGACCATGGCATCTGGTTATAATTAATGCACGATCAATTAATTTCGTCCGTTGTTTTACGCCGTCAACGACAAATTTACCGGATCATCGTCGCGTGGCCAGCGAATTTACACGTTTTATCATACGCCCGTAAAGCCGAGCGCACGCGAATCTATTTGGAGCTTCCGTAATTGGTGGCCGATATGACGCGGACGAAATCGCAGTGATAATTGGCGCTCGCGAGTCTCGTTGGGCGAGTATAATCACGTATTCGAATATTATGGCCACGGCAGAGTTTCTTCCTAAAATTAAATGTGTGTATGTGTGTGTGCGCGTACGTGTGCGCGCGCGCGAAGTTTAATACCCATGTTTTCGTTACGTATTCAGCGCTAAACGTTGCCACCCTTTCTGTTTTTGAGCTTTATTTATCGAACATGGAGAACGCATTAAACGCACATATCGGAATGAGTATAAAATGTGCGGCACATCAGGCGGCTAATATGCGGCGCATTCAGGTCACGCTTTCATTCCTTTTTCCTTCAACCTGACATCAAATTACTATACTATTTGTTTACTACACGTTATGCTTTATTATATCGAAAGCGCAAAAGGAAAAAAGAGGTCTATAAATCGATACCGTTCATCCTTTTATTATTAGATTTTGATGCGTCCGATCATGATAAAATATAATATATAAATTACGCATTAGAAGTAGACAAATCCGTCCGTGGAAAAAGATTTTACAAACTTATATACGAAAACTAATAAACTATTCAGCTTGCTTGCAAAATATTCAATCTGCGTGCCAAGCAATCTCTCTCTCTCTCTCTCTCTCTGTGTCTTTTTTCTATATTGTTGCTGTTCGAAACTTGATTTTTTAAAATGTGATATTCAGGACGACATTTCGAGGCAACGGCGGACTATTTATTACGAACGCTGGGCCAAACCCGCTGGATCACGATCTCCATTTTAAATGTAATCCTGCAAAAGTACACGGCTGCGGCCGCGTGGTATCGATAATGGTAACTGTAATCAAGCCGGAAGATGAAATTTGACCGATCGGTTTTGAGGACGGCTGTATTAATAAAATCGATGCCGCGGCTCTGCGGTTGCGGTGCGCTCGCGACGTTTCCGACGCCGGAGATACTCTTTTAATTGAATTTTTACCCTTTTTTTCCCCCGCGGGCCCGATAGCGGGGCGCGGTCACATTTGAATACATAATTGGCAGCTTTTTTCCCCCGCTTGCCCGTTTGATCCGGCCATCTCTTCGCTCTGTGTCTTATATTTGTGTATTTCCTTCCGACCCGTCGACCAATGAAATGTGATTTAATTCCGGTTTAAAATGAGAGAAGCGACACGCGAATACAAAACCGCTGTGGAACATTAATGAAAATGTCGATATTGATATGCACTCGTAGCATCTCCTCGCATCTTTTATTTGTTTACCTTTGTTTCTCTTTGAAAGTATTGATCACTGGGCACACGGTACGAACGTATAACCAATCTGTGTACCTTTAAAATAGAACACATAGCTTTTCCAAACAATTTTTTTCATATGCAAAACCGTTTGAGAAAGCAAGATTTAATATACAATATATTAATACATGTATACATATGTATCCATTTATTCCATTAAATAATTTCGCCGAGAGGAAGTTATTTGGCAAAAACATTACCAAGACAAGTAACTTTTTAACAAAATCACACGAATGTATTGTTAAAAATTGAAACAGCTAAAAAATTAATTTAAGGAACAAATTTAGGACGCACAAGTGTGATTTACTGATATTCACTATTACTAATGTTTATTATTGTACCGTCCAAGTTTTATCTGGAAAGCAATCAAAATTTGCAGCCGTCGGCAAAATTCTGGTTACTAAAATTTTTAGATACGATACCGTTAAAAGTATAATAAAAGTAAAAATACTATAAATACAACACAAATACAATTTAATAGGAGAAAAATATGAATGAAAAATATTATACGAACCACGAATACGCGGGCAAAATTAATATCCTCCTACTGTAAAAATCGTCAATTCGCGGAATATTGGAAATTATTACGAAGCATTCCGCCCCTCGTAGCGAGTTTTCCGCCGCAACACCAGTTTCAAATTGGAGTACGGTCCTCTTCTACACGCTCGGCGAGTAGGAATGTTTCATTCCCTGAATACGGGGAACGCGACGCGATGACGCAACTTTCGCGCAGAAGCTTTTACCGCGCCGCAAACAACCGTTTTCATTTAGCTTTCCCGCGACGCTAAGTGAATTTTGCCGGACGCCTTTCTTCCGTTCTCCTCGTACATACGTTCGAGCTCGTGAGTCCCGTTATGAAGTCTGGCTGAATTTAATCCCTGCTTTTCATGAAATCCGCCGGCCGATCCGACGCGTTTGCAGAAAAGAGAAGATAAAAAATAAAACTGAGCGTGTATCGCCGCGGTCGCGTAATTCCGAAGGACGTTAATTATTACCGTCGGCGGCAAAATATCTTCCCGTTATTCTCGCGCCGTCGCAATAATAGGGCGCCTTCGTAATCGTGTTATTAGGGCCGTTTGGCGCTCAAGGGACGAGCGGAGGGGCGCGGTGTACTTGGCGAAGAGTTTGTTGCAAGTGCGCGTGTAGATAGATGCGATGTACATAAATGCCGAGTGTGCTCGATGATTTTGC